ATTTTGTTAAAATTGGCATAGGATATGTCGACGACATGAGATAGGACACGGCAACTGGATCTTTTAGAATTTTTTTGAACAAAAAGCAAGAAGAGGAGAAGATGATATATCAATATATATCTACATAGATGTGTATATATTTATCTCTATATAATAGACAGATAAAAGTTTGTTAAATGAAATAAAGTATAAATTGATACAATATAAATAAATTTATAGATCTATTTGCTAATATCGTGTTCTTCTATACCAACTTTCTCTGATATGAAAGTTTGGGGAGAGGAGAATATAAACGAAAAAAAAAAAAAAAAAAAAAAAGAAAGATATGAAAGAAGTTGAAGAGATGAAAGAAACAGAAAGCAAAGAAAACCCGAAAAATGAGACAAAAATAGAGGGGGTGATAAGATTTCAACCGCAAGTTATAAGATTTGTACTGCAATCTTATCTTATGTGACCACTTGTTTGGTCACAAGGCTAACCCTATCCCTTTTGGATATAACATTTGTTCAAATTTGGGCGCATGGGCTTATATGATGGGCCATTGTGTATATATATATATTGTTATGTATATATCATGGTGTGGGGCCCATAATGTATGATATCATCCATGACATCAAGGCTTAAGTCTTACAAAGGAAGCTTTCAAGAGTGGCTTCTTAGGGAAGCCAATTGCTGCGCCTATATATATATATAGCTATGCATGTGTACTGCGGAAAGATGTGTTGGAATAGAAAAACAAAATTTCATTTTCTCTGCCTCTCTTTCGTTTTCTCTCACTCAATCTCTTTATATTACTTTCTTTATGTGTATATATACACACACACACAAATTTATTACACGTTATCAGCACGAACTCTATCCATCTGAGATTTGAAGAAGAAGCTTTCTCTCCCTCTTTCTATCCCAACTATATATCTATTTTGTGATATTAGTTTTGATAGATTGTTGGGTTGGTTTGCTTTATCGGATAAAATAATATTTTTGACTCCAAAGGGAATGGATCTGACTAGTTTCAAACTAAATGGTGAAGACATATGTCTTGCAGATAGCGGAACAACGCATACAATCCTTCGAGATCAAAAATATTTTTCCCACTTAACTTTGACAGACCCTAGTGTCAGTACCATATCAGGTCCCACCGACTTGATTGAAGGCTCTGGACGAGCCAACATCATTTTACCACATGGAACTAGATTACAAATCAATGATGCCTTATATTCTACAAGATCTCGGAGAAATCTACTGAGTTTTAAAGACTTGCGTCGTAATGAGTATCATATTGAGACTGCAAATGAAAGAAATGTCGAATATCTCTACATTACTTCCATTACCTCAGGCAAGAAACTGATATTAGAAAAACTCCCTGTTTTCTCTTCTAGGTTATACTATACAACAATTAGAACAATTGAGTCAAATGTTGTGATTCATAAAAAAATTTTGTGACCCAAAACTTTTTATACTTTGGCATGATTGACTTGGTCACCCAGGGAGTACAATGATGCGTCGAATTATTGAAAATTCACATGGTCACCCACTAAAGGATCAAAAAATCATCTTACCAAATAATCATCTATGCACCGCCTGCTCACAAGGTAAGTTGATTATCAGACCATCCCCTTCAACAGTCATTGTTGAGTCTCCTCCATTTTTACAACGAATTCATGGGGATATATGTGGGCTAATCCATCCACCATCTGGACCATTTCGTTATTTTATGGTCTTAATTGATGCATCAACACGATGGTCACATGTTTGTCTACTTTCTACTCGTAATATTGCATTTGCTAAACTTCTTGCTCAAATCATCAAATTACGGGCACACTTTCCTGATTACCCAATTAAGACAATCCGTCTTGATAATGCCGCTGAATTTTCTTCTCAAGCTTTTGATGATTATTGCATGTCAGTTGGAATTTATGTTGAACATCTTGTTGCACACACTTATACTCAAAATGGTATGGCTGAATCTTTTATTAAAAGACTTCAGTTAATTGGTCGTCTTTTGCTTATGCGAACAAAATTACCTGTTTCTGCCTAGGGTCATGCCATATTGCATGCTGCATCATTAGTTCGTATACGACCAACTGCTTATCATAAGTACTCACCATTACAACTTATTTTTGGTCAACAACTAAATATTTCCCACATACGAGTTTTTGGTTATGCTGTATATGTTCCAATTGCACCACCCCAACGCACTAAAATGGGTCCTCAACGTAGACTTGGAATTTATGTTGGTTTGATTCTCCATCTATTATTAGATATCTTGAACCCTTGACAGGTGATGTCTTCAAAGCACGATTTGCTGACTGTCATTTTGATGAGACTGTTTTCCCACCATTAGGGGGAGAAAAGGTACAGCAGCAACGTGATCTTACTTGGAATGCCCTGAAATTGTCTCATTTTGATCCTCGTACAAACCAATGTGAACGAGAAGTTCAGAGGATCATTCACTTGCAAAATGTTGTAAATCAATTACCTGATGCATTTATTGATACAAAGAAAGTGATAAAATCACATATACCAGCTGCAAATATACCAGCACGAATTGCTATCCCTGAGGGACCTTCTGTCAGTAATGCAGCAAATGCATCTAAAACACGCCTGAAGCGTGGTAGACCAGTTGGTGCAAAAGATATTGTTTCTCGTAAGAGGAAATCACAAAGAAAAGTTGGCACTCCTGAAGAGGCCACAAAAAGAGTAACAGATATTATTGATCAATCTGAGATAATAGCCTTTGATAAGGCAGATGCTCTTGATGAGTCTCAGGTACCTAAAAATGATGAAATAATAAACATTGATGAGGCAAAAGCAACAGATGATGATGTGGCCCTTGATGAGGCACATGCTCTTGATGAGGCAAAGGTACCTGAAAATGATGAGATCTCATTAAATTATGAAACGAGATGGAATAGAAATGAAATTGTTGTCGACAACATATTCTCATATCTTGTTGCTCTTGATATTGAAAATGAGGATCCGGAACCTCAAAACGTCGAAGAATGTCGACGAAGAAATGATTGGCCAAAATGGAAAGAAGCGATACAAGCAGAGCTAAATTCATTAGCTAAACGTGAAGTATTTGGACCAGTAGTCCAGACACCTGAGGGTGTTAATCCTGTTGGGTACAAGTGGGTGTTTGTACGAAAGCGTAATGAGAAAAATGAAATCGTGAGATATAAAGCCCGACTTATAGCTCAAGGTTTCTCACAAAGACCTGGTATTGATTATGAGGAAACATATTCCCCTGTGATTGATGCAACTACTTTTAGATTCATAATACATTTAGCAGTCACAGAAAGATTGCATATGCATTTAATGGACGTGGTTACAGCATATTTATATGGATCACTAGATAGTGATATTTATATGAAAATCCCAGAAGGATTTACAATGTCTGAAACAAAACCACGTAATATGCACTCAATAAAATTACAACGATCCTTATATGGATTGAAGCAATCTGGACGAATGTGGTATAATCGCCTTAGCGATTACTTACTCAAAGAAGGGTATGTGAACGGTCATATTTGTCCATGCATTTATTAACAAATCAGAATCTGGTTTTGTTATTGTTGCAGTATATGTTGATGATCTGAACCTTGTGGGAACATTGGACGAGATCGAAAAGACAGCCACATATTTAAAGAAAGAATTTGAAATGAAAGATCTCGGAAAGACAAAATTCTGCCTTGGGCTGCAGGTTGAACATCTTTCGAATGGTATTCTCATCCATCAATCAACATATACAGAAAAGATTCTGAAACGTTTTCATATGGATAAAGCATATCCATTGAGCTCCCCAATGGTTGTCTGATCACTGGACATCAAGAAAGATCATTTTCGTCCTCATGAAGATGATGAAGAACTCCTTGGCCCTGAAGTGCCCTATCTCAGTGCGATTGGTGCTCTTTTGTATCTTTCAAATTGCACAAGACCTGATATAATTTTTCCAGTCAATTTATTAGCACGGTATAGTTCTACACCAACTCGCAGATACTGGAATGGAATCAAACACATATTGCGATATCTTCGTGGCACAACTGATATGAGCTTGTTTTATTCGAAGGCACCAAAGTCTCCATTAGTTGGATATGCAGATGCCGGCTATCTTTCTGACCCACATAAAGCTTATTCACAAACAGGGTATGTGTTTACCTGTGGCGGCACAGCTATATCATGGCGATCGATGAAACAGACAATGATTGCCACTTCTTCAAATCATTCTGAGATACTCGCAATTCATGAGGCAAGCAGGGAATGCATTTGGTTGAGATCAATGATCAGCATATTCGAACAACATGTGGTCTCTCATCAATAAAAGAAAGTCCAACAATATTATATGAAGATAATGCGGCATGCATTGCACAGAAGAAAGAAGGGTATATTAAAAGTGACAGGACCAAGCACATCTCACCAAAATTCTTTTATGCACATGAACTGCAGAAAAAGGGTGATATTGATATTCAGAAGATACGTTCATGTGAAAATCTAGCAGATTTATTCACTAAAACGCTTCCAACTACAACATTCAAGAAGCTGGTGCACAACATTGGAATGCGTCAACTAAAGGATCTTCAGGGTTGATCTAATGAGGGGGAGCAATTCATCAAAGAGGTATTGGCATGCTATACTTTTTTTCCTTCGTCCAGGTTTTATCCCACTGGGTTTTCCTGTCAAGGTTTTAATGAGGCAGTTTTACTCTATGCAATACCATTTTTAGATACATAAGAATACTGTACTCTTTTCTTTCGCTAGTGTTTTGTCCCACTGAATTTTTCTTAGCAAGGTTTTTAACGAGGCATATTCTCAGTACAGTATTGTGGACCCCAAGGGGAGTGTTATGTATATATCATGGTGTGGGGCCCATAATGTATGATATCATCCATGACATCAAGGCTTAAGTCTTACAAAGGAAGCTTTCAAGAGTGGCTTCTTAGGGAAGCCAATTGCTGCGCCTATATATATATATAGCTATGCATGTGTACTGCGGAGAGAAACGTTGGAATAGAAAAACAAAATTTCATTCTCTCTGCCTCTCTTTCGTTTTCTCTCACTCAATCTCTTTATATTACTTTCTTTATGTGTATATACACACACAAATTTATTACATATATTTTAAAATAAAGATTAATTGGCTCAAATTTAAATAGTTTACGAATAATTTTTTATATATAATAAAATTATATTATTATTTTATTTCTGTACCCTTGTTGTGATCGTGTTTTATTTTTTTTTTAGAATTGACGTATTGCAGTCTCCATGTCATATCATACCTGTATCTGCATCCGTGTTAGCCAGGGGTATGTTAATATCCTAGAAGTATTCTTGCTTCCTAGGCTGTAATAAAGTAGTGATCTGGGCCGCCTCCACTCCTTTCTTCTTCTCCTCCTGTTCTATTTTGATTTTGATAAGCTAGGGTTTTCAGGAGGAACAAATCCGAATGATTGAAAGTTTGTTATTTCATATTGCCAGCAAGAACGTCCTATCACCTGAACTCTTCTTTATGATGTTGCCACTTTCGGTCTTTTTGATATCAATTTGAGTTGGTTAAGCGACAACAAGGATTGGTAATCTTGCTTGATCCGTTTGTCTCTCTGGTGTGGTATTTCCATGGTACGATTAGTTTCTTTCTCTATTTCCCATTTGATTTCATTCCTATTTCTCAATCTTTACAATGCTTTTCTTCTTTTTTTTTTGGTATTTATTTTTAGGAAGGAAAAGGAACAGTGTGGTGGAACGCGTCTGACAGGCCGGATGATTTTGGTTACTACTATAATGGTATAGGTGATTTTAAGAACACCGGTCAGGTGGTGGAAGTCTCTGCTATTCGCTACAAAGCGACTAAGAAGAGGGAAGCGAATCAGTTAGTGAGAAGGCTACGTTCGTCTGAACACAAGAACGTCGCCAAAATTCTATATAGAAAAAATCACAAGAAGAGCGGAGGAACCACAATAGTTGTGGAACGACTTGGTTTGGATTTCTATAACTGGGTTTACCAACCCAATCTGGATCTGTGGGAGGTTGACAGCAAAAACGTCGTGTTTGGCGCAGGAAAAGATTTCCTGAAAGTTTTCAAGTTTGTATTGTTTACTACCTTTTCTGTTTTTCTTGTTTATTTTTATTTTTATTTTTATCAATCTAATCATATATATATATATATATATATATATATATATTTATTTATTTATTTATTTCAGAGAAATCATCAAAGGCTTAGACTATTTTGTCCAGACCACGGGCTATCATGGGAATCTTATTAATGGGGTCACTGTGTCCTCCAACAAAGAAGTTCGGTTGTTCTGGCCAAGTAAAATCAAAAGAAGTAAAGAACTTTTCTACTTTGCATTCTTCATTTATATATTCTATGATGCTCTTTACTTGCGATTTTAAATTTTTTGCCCCAATTTCTAGTTTTCCCCCAGTTATAGACCCCTTGATAGACACTGTAAGACTTCCCCTGCACGGTGATAAACTTTGTACCTCTGATCTTTTTTTTTTTCCCACACAGGGCACTCTACTGAAATGAGTTTCGAAGACCGTATCACACCTAAAAACGTGTGACCCAAAAAACCAAACACTTACACGGAGTAATTTAGACCCAATTTCATTTTAAGTTATATTTGTGGATTTGACACATTATTTTAAAGGGAATGATTTTACCTTTGTTTTTAGTATCCAAACAAACACGTCCCAATTGCATTACGGCTACATCTGTGTTTTTTTACTGTAATTCAGTAGCATGAGCTACTGCTGCAGAGGCTCTTATATTGATATTGGGGAAAGTGAGAAAAACATGCCAAATTATTATTATTTTTTTTTGTTTCCTAAATGGAGGAATTTTTTCATAAATATAAACAATAGTATACAAAAACTCATAGGGGCATTCCCCTATCCAATACAACCAAAAAGAAACGCCAAGAAAACAATCCTGATATAAACCTATATCTAGGAGAGCATCAAAATTCAAAGACATTCCCCTACTTCCAAATAAAAGCTGAGAACACCAAATAATCTGAAAAAATCCTATAAAATCTGATTGAACTTGCAACCATCCCTTGAAACGAGACTTGACTACCCTTGAGAGCAGAACAAGATAGCAACATATACAGCATCTCAAAACAAAGCTAAATCCCCTTCTGAACAAGAGTTCAATAACTCACACTGATAGCAACATACCAGCATCTCAAAACAATGCTAACTCCCCTTCACTGAAATAAAAGATAATGAAGTTTACACAATATCCTGAAGTGAAATCGCCAAGACATCTAGCACTTCCCATAAAATAGTTTTAGCTAAATCCTTTACCTCTCTCGCAATCTTATCATGCACTCTATTGTTTCTTTTCCACCAAATAAAATACAGCACCGCAGTAAAAATCAATCTTGCCATCTTCTTTGTTTGTTTTGTCTGACCTTGCTGATATATTTGAGCAACCAAAGCTGATATCCCATGAGAAAAACATGCCAAATGATTACATTTTAGGCAAATAACACCCCTATCCTTTATATTTAGGGTTAGGCATTTTATTCATTTTACATTTACTTAGTTTTTCACTCTTTTTTTCCAGTTGTATTAGGGCACTTTAGTCTTTTGATCGCTCCATTGACAACAAGCCTTGTTCGCACCAAAAGTAAAAGTTAGGGGCTTTTAAAAACCTCTAGGGTTATATACCTTATATGCATACTATGGGGGTGTTTATTGCCCGTGACCCTATTGATATATAGTGTTACTCTATTGCTTCAATGGGGGTGAGATATAGTGTTACTCTGTTGCTTCAATGGGGGTGAGATATAGTGTTACTCTGTTGCTTCAATGGGGGTATAAGGAGGTTATAAGGAGGTTGACGGGGATAACCAACATATTATGCACTTGAAGTCAATTGATGCAGTTACTCAAGTTTTAGTGGATGTATAGAGACCGGTTTTCTTTTTTTCTTTTTCTTTTTCTTTTTCCACGTGCATCTATGTGATACATGACATGGGGGATGTGTTTTGGGATGTTCAAAATCACTTTTTATCGTTTCGGGAGTTTCCGAGTTAGTTACCACCTTATTCAGACTTGTTCCTTTGGTCGGGCATGTGGGCCGGGGATGTCGGGTATGTGGGCCTGGACCGAGCCCAGAGCTTGGGAGTTGTTTTGACACACTATAATCCACTTAGAGTCACAATAGACATTTATAGTGTTGTGAGATATATATATATATATATATATATATATATATGGATTTTTTTATGTCATTAAAGGACAAGAAGGATATTAGAGTTGAAGAGGGAGGGCAGGGAAGACTTTTTTCATGACAGGACTATAAAAGGGAGGGTTGACCATTTTCTTGGCCACACAACACATCCTTGGATTTCATTTTGGCGCACTTTCATTTTTGGGGGTTTTTGAGAATTGCTCTCAATTGAGGTAGGGGTGTCTAACCTTCTCTTCCTTAGGCTCTACAAGTGATTCCTATGCTTTAGTTGATATTAGCATGCATGTATGTTATGAAAAAACATTATCATGAAATATATATTACATGTATGTACGTGTTGATGGGTGAAATGGGTTTGCTTAAAAAGGAAAATTTGATATGTGTATGATGTAACATGAGATTAGAGTTGATTTTAGCATACCTGACATATTCTTCTTGGTTAAATGCTATGGAAATCATACCAAATAGTTATATAAATGTCTTGATATCAATTCATGATGATGAATGGCTTGTTGATAGCTTTATATTGAATATATGAGGCATTGGTTTTATATGAATGCTTTGTGTTTGATGGAATGCCACGAGAATGTGATAATTGAGAAATGTGATTTTGATGCTTATGAGATCATAATTGAAGAAGGCATGTGTATAGGGCAATAAGTAGCATGATTTTATGTGCATATACATGTATATGTATGTAGCTTGTGAAGTGGATTTGGGAAGTGGGTTTGTGTACCATAATGCTACAATGGGGCTGTTGCAAATGGGTTTGGATTGATGATAATACTTGTAAGGTGTTTTTTTTGATTTAAAAGCCATAGATGCCATGTTAATTGATGATGAAAGTATGTTGTCATTGGCACATTGTTATATAATGAGAAATGGACTTCTTGTGTCCTTACATTGTGAAGTTGATGGCTTATTACTGTATGCATGCTATGTGCTTGGTGAAATGCCCATGTGAATGTAATAATTTGATAAATGTTGAAGGAGTGCTATATTAGCTCTATAATTGAAAGAGGAAAATCAAGTGGCTATGCACGATATACTAGAGTATATTTTACACCTATCATTGGCCATGTTGCATTGCATGTGTGGGTGGTGTTTTACATGGGTGTGGTGTTGATTTTCAAAGTTTGGAAAGGTATTCGAAGGGGTTGGATCGTGTGGCGGGAGAGGGGATAGGTTAGCCATCATCTACTGTGCATCATTGCTCACCCTTATCTTTTCAAGCAGAGGACACCTTCCGGATGTGGCATAGGCCATCATGGACATTGGGATTGGATTTATGGACAGCTTATTGTATAAGATAACTGTTATCCTATGGTTTGAAATTCAAACAAATGACTTGTGTAGTGGGATTGAACAATTATATTATGATGTATATAAGTGGTGGCTCAATTGGATGTAAATGATTACTTATATATGTTATATTCTTATATGGACTATGATCGTTATAATTGTTATACCCATGGTTATCTAAGTTGAGTCTAGATCTTCTTCGTTTTTTTCCTCTTTTGAGTCCATGTGCTGATTTGTTCAATGCAAGTCACTTTAATATTTAGGATAGAAATTGTGTCCAAAGAAGTCACCACTACTGGATTGTTGCCCATATTTGCCGATGTTGCTGACCATATATTTGTATTTTCACCCATGCATCAGTTTGGTCATTTGAAGATGAACCCACTGAGTTGTCGCCCTCATGGGGCTGTTTGGTCGCCCAAATGCCCTGGTACGATTAGTTACTTTCTCCATCTCCCCATTTTAGTAAGACGTCCCCTGCACGATGGTAAATGTTATACCTCTTTTCTTTTCTATTTTCTTTTTTCTTTTTTCACACAGGGCGCTCTGTCCGTACAAACACAGACCATATGGTGAAATGAGTTTCGAAGACGTAGTTACACTAGCACACCTAAAAAGTGTGGCTCAAAAAATCAAACACTTAATTTAGACCCAATTTCATTTTGACTTTGTTTTGAGTTAAATTGGTGGATTTGACACATTATTTTAAGGGGGAATGATTTGCCTTTGTTTATAGTTATCCAAACAAACATATCCCAATTGCGTTGCTGCTGCATCTGTGTTTTTAAATTCAGTAGCTCATGCTATTGCTGCAGAGGCTCTTATATTGATGTATAGTGTTACTCTGTTGCTTCAATGGGGGTGAGATATAGTTTTACTCTGTTGCTTCAATGGGGGTGTAAGGAGGTTGACGGGGATAACCAACATATTATCCACTTGAAGTCAATTGATGCAGTTACTCAAGTTATGGCTTTTCATGTTATTCAAGTTTATTGTAACTCTATTACTAGTTAATAATATCTGCTTTTATGTCAATATATATATATATATATATATAATAAAATAAAAAAATTTCATTTGTTTAATTTCATTACTCTATTATTGAGTCTACAGAATTTATTGTTTATGATATTATTGTTAATTTACAATTTTGGACAGATCCTGTGGAAGCTCTTCGCAAAGACATTCAAGACCTTGCTGATTTAGTTACCCTAGCGGTAGCTGCGCAATCTAAAGTTACGTTTGAAGAAGCGCAAACATCAAAAGTTGGCTTAATTGTATGTGTCAACCTCTTCCTGGATTTAATTGCAAATGTGCTACCCATTTGTCAAACACTTGATGAGCTCAAGTAAGTAAAAATTGTTTTCTAAAGGTAAATGTTACTTTTTTATACCTTTTCCTGGATTTAATTACATTTGTGATTTTTGTTTCTGTGATTTACTTTAATTAGGAAATTTTGGGGTTTTGTCAAAATGAACCCAATTTTTCAAGATGCCGAACAGAGATATGAGATGCAGATAATATTTAATGACGTGCACAGCAAAATCTCAATGGAAGTGTTTGAAAAAGTAACTTTGTGTAGTGCTGCAACAGAAATTGAAGGCTGGTGGTATACAAGGATTCCATCGGATAGTTTTCTGAAAGGTATTGGAAGTAAAAGACCCCTAGTTCAAGTGAAAGGAACAGAAAAATGGGTGCTACGTGGTTATGATATGCCAAACGCAATTTTTGATTTTCACGTAAATGCCTATGAGTGCGCCAGGGAGGTATGTTTTATTAATTTTTTTATTTTTTATTTTTTTCTTGGTTAACATTGTGGTTCATTTTTAATAATATTTCTTATTTATTGACAGGGAAAAACAAGAAAGACACCTATGGAGGTGTCGGAGGAATTATTTAAAATATTCCCGGACTATGGACCCAAATATTTTCATGAGCTAGTGCTAGCTGTTTACAAGCCACAAAACCGTACGACTGATGCAAATACTCTGCTTTCTGAACTAACGAGTAGAATTGATCCTTTGGACTAAATTTCTGGTTAGTGGCTGCCTTTTTTATTTTTTTATTTTTTTCCTGATGTGTGCTGTGTTTTGCCTTTTGCGTCGACACTCTAGTGATCTTCAGCAGTTAATTTTATTCTATACCGAACAAAGCCCTGCATTTCATTAAGTATGTCTCTTCGTACAAGAGTTGGGATCAAGTCCTAGACTGCCAGGGTTTAAGTGATATGTTTTGTTTCACATGTAGCATAAATTGAACTAATTTGTTGCAAATTGTTTTATTTGTTTCAAAGGAATCACCTCATTTAAGGGGAAAAAAAGAAGTAATTTGCTCACACTTCTGTTTATGCTAAAGATCTGGTCCGATCTGTGTCAACAAGATGACCATTAAGGATAGGTCCACACTAAATGCAATAGGGGAGATGGCCAGTGCATTGCCAGAGAGTTTAGAATTAAGTACCATAGGGAAAGCCTAGGTAAACTCTGGATCCATGGAGACTGATGGCGATAAATCACAGTGATGAGCAATGGAGGCAAACATCTACAACTCAGTCAGGTTGATGGCGCTAGGCCATACAAGGTTGACATTGGTATATAAAGTGGATGTAAGAAGCTCTAGTGGTGTGACCAAATTCCAAGTAAGGTACAATGGGATCAGTGTGCATGTAGGTGTAGGTGATAATCAACTGCATATGCTGAGATCTGGTTTTACAAGTATTGTAGAACCTCGATAACACTCCTCATGCCTAGATCCAAGACAAAGGCACTGTGTGCTTTAGTTTCTTATTGTTTCTAACTTTCAGATAGTTCTGTTACTGTATTTTCTGCTTACTGCCGATTATTAGTTTCTTATTGTGTGCTCTTGTTGCCAGTTGTCAAGCCTAGCTTGTGCCATAATTATTTGAATTCATTTATTGTAATTGAGAAATAAATGCTAGTTCTGCTTGTATTGACAGAAAATTGAACCTTGAAAAGGAGTGAATTTAAACAGCTCTGGTACATGCTTTCATTTATATTTCAAAAAAAAGTTTACTCATTTTAAATAATACTAGTAATATTAGTAGTAGTAACAACGACATCAACGATGATAATTGAACCTTGAAAAGGGGTGAATTGAAGCAGCTCTTGGTACTTGTTTTCACTTATATTTCAAGAAAAAGTTTACTCACCATAAATAATATACTAATAATAGTTGCAGTAATAACAGCAACAATGACGATGTCGATGACAATCATGGTCCTTGTTGTCTTTTGAGCTCTTATTTGCCAAACACCTTGCAATAATTATTTTTGGTGACTAACTGCGCAATAAATCATTGCAGTCATTTATTGTAATTGAAATATCAAGGCTACTCTGCTTGTACTGAGAGACGATGGAATACGGAAAAGCACTGTATTTATACTTTTATGAGGTTGAATTCATTGTTATTATAATATTTGTGAATGCAATTTAAAATAATTGTGTTAGAATGTTTTAGTCTTTTAGGTTAAAGAGGAAGCTATTCAAAGATTTAGACTTGGTCAATGCAACCTATAATCTTGTGGTAAATGCATGAGTTATATAACAATACTGTTCTTTTTACCTTTTATTTATTTATTTTTTTCGAAAAGTCAACCTTTTATTTTCTGTGCTAACTTACACTAGTTAGAATAGAAATATTTATATGTAATTGGTAAATATCCATTTGTGGAATTCTCTATAACTCGTATTTCAGTTTTGGATTTTCTTCAATCTTATAATGCAGATAGCGAGATGCACGAATTGTTGGAAGTTGCTGCAGCTAAGGGTAATTATGGCCAATCCAAGCTTTTACATAAAGTGGAGATTTAATTAACCGGCTATGTTTTTTTTATTTTTTCCTTGGTAAACTGAGTTCTTGCTTGTTCCCCTTTAAATCGGAACTCGGAAGTAGACTTGTGCTGGTTTGTTTAAACTATCTGTAAAGGTGTTATTATTCCGGTGCTCACTGTTTAAAATCTCTGAAGACTGATTAGGATAGATATATCAAAGGGATGAATATTGATGAACTTCCAATCTATTTATTATTATTATTATTATTATTAATTTTATATACTGTGTGTGTTTGCATCGCAATCTTTGATACAAAGATCAAGCAACTAGACCTGAGTTGGGTTTTATAACTTTGATCTTGAGAGTTGTCTATGTTGAGATGAACTTCCAATCTATTTTTAGGGTTGCATGGCAAAGTGACTCAGGATGTCTTGTCAACTTTTCATGCAACTAAATAAGTGAGATTCATTTGTTTGGATATAAAATATAGAAGTATATTTTTAATTTTTAGGTGTTTGGTTGTCATAAATTTACAAATATATATATATTAAAATTTAATAAAAATAACTTATTCATTAATTTAGTTATTTTACATGATAGATTTGATCTAGACCATTGTCAAATACCAAAAAATTTAAAATTAAAAATATTTTACCTAAATAAGAAAAATCTTTTTTGAGGAAAATATTTTAGTGTTAAGTTTTGAAGTAACCACGCTACATAATTAGTGGTTGGATAATTAGTGGTTGGAGACAATAATTTCATCAATTCAATTGCTAATTTAACTTGTTGACTTATTGATCACATAAAATTTATTATGAGAAAATAATATATATTTATAAATAAATATATAATAAAATAATTTTATCAAAACAATAGATCTAGATTTATGTGATGAAACAAATCTAAGTCAAAATAAATTATCTAACTTAGATACGTTGATGTGTAAATCCTCACGACCCGGAACGACGGCATTTACCTGCAAAACAAAGGTACGTCATTTCGAATGGTACCGGTGGGGTGCCAGTCAAGGACCCTCCGACGATCAAGCTAGTACTTGTAATCGTATTACATAATAACTATGTATCTTTTGTTTAGGAGTTTTTTCTCATACCATTATTGCCCGGTAGGATTTCCTTCTTATAGTCGCTCTACCTCTGTTCGGGATCAGAGGAAATCTGCCTGTACAAGATCAGAAGAGATCTGTTCGTTGCCATATTTGTAGGGATATGATTTAACCCTTTTGACTTCCTTGTGCTAGGATTATCCTTACCCTGTTGAACCACGTTGTCTTTCATTATCTTAGATAAGAAATATCATCATTCTTATCCAGTGAAATCGTTATATTTGATAACGAAATATTATCGCTCAAAAGTAGAAGAGGTCTGGTCAACGTTTAGTTGCCTTTTATCGTTAGGTCAAGGTAGGTCTATTTTTCCCTATCAATTGCCTCCCATTCCTAAGCTTGCTTGTCTAGCTTTGGGAATGTAAATTTTTTTTTTTTGACCTTGGGAACAGTACTCCGCGGGTACTGTTCATGTGAATAGTAGAAGATTATTTTTATTTTTTTTGCCCTAGGAACAGTACCCCGCGAGTACTATTCCCGCGAGTACTGTTCATGTGAACAGTAGAAGAATTTTTTATTTTTTTTTTCCTTGCCCTGGGAACTCTTCCCTCGGGTACTATTTTTAGTACCTTTGGGTAATCTCCTTACGGGTACTATTTTTGATACCCTTAGGTACTCTGCCCCTGGGTATTCTTTTTGGTACCCTTGGGTACTCTTCCCTTGGTAAGGAAATAAATTGGACGAGTTTCACTCAGGTCGTCACTCCTTTAATAAGGGAATTAAATTTTACGAGCTTTACTCAACTCGTCCCCTTTAGTAAGGAATTTTTATTTACTATCCCTTATAGTACGGGGATATTAATTACGGGATTCATTCAGCCCCGGTCCTTGTAGTACAGGACATTTATTTACTATCCCTTATAGTATGGGGATATGAATTGCGGGATTCATTCAACCCGAGTTCTTTTAGTACATGACATTTCTTTACTATCCCTTATAGTACGGGGATATTGATTACAGGATTCATTCAGCCCGTCCCTTTAACAAGGGAATAAATTTTACGAGTTTCACTCAGCTTATCCCTTTAGTAAGGGAATTAGGTTTTACGAGCTTAACTCAGCTCGTCCCTTTAGTAAGGGAATTAATTACCACATAGGTATAACACGTGAGGGGGAGGATCGTTTTTTGACCTGACCTTTGTAGGTTAAGTCTTGATCTCTGATGACCATACTTTCGTCAGTTAGGCCCTGGTCTTGGTCTCTGATGACCAGACTTGGGGTGACCGAGCACTGATCTTGGATGACCGAGCCTTTGTAGACTTTGGGCAATCAATTCTTAGTCTTGGTTGACTAGGCCTTGGTTTTGGATAACCAAGCCTTGATTTATGATAACCAAGGGTTGTACCCTTCCTGGTGTGTAGAGACTTACCTGGTTATGGTTTCGGAGGATCGAGCATTGGTCTTAGACGACTAGTGCCCCCGAGGGGTCGCTAAAGGAAAGAGACTAAAAACCCGACTAGCTCGATGCACCAAGGTATGTCAATCTTCTAAACCTTGTCATCATATGTAGATCAACGATTGATATCGTGTGATCCACTATTCTATCCCCGATGCTGGGATCTTGGGTGTTGACCCATTTTATGGACGTTTATACAACAGACGGGGTGTCTGGTGCTGCAACAATTTACAGTTGTCTAAAAATATTAAACTGTGTTAGAAAGAATTACTGAAAATTAACCTGCAATGGATTGTTAATCCAAAATTCTGCATAATCTGAAGTCGATAGGCAATTCCTGCAAGGGAAGAGAGGTGACGACGACTGTCGTCTAGTAGGTGGAGGCTTAATGTCGAGCGACTAGCTTGATGCTTGGTGGGTAGGGGCGTGGTATCCAACGGCTGACAGATGACGGTCTGGTGGCCAGTACCAGATGACGATCTGGTGGCCAGTACCTCGTTGGGTCCAATGATCGCCCTTAACTTAGGAACCTCCTTGGGAATACAGACCTCATGGGATCTTGAGGGACATTGAACTCCTTGGACCTAAAGGCCTTGATACATTCTTGGGTATAGAAGGCCACCCTGATTGCACGAAGGGACGGAGTAATGAGACTCCTTTGCTAGAGACATCCTTAGTAGTTGAGGCTTTACTAGTAGGTAGAGACCCCCTTGTTGGTGGTGATCTTCTTAATGGGTGGAGACCTACCCATTTATGTAGGTGCAGAATGACCAGGTCTTAGTCTTCAACGATCAGGCCTTGGTAATTAGCTGCTGCCCGATATGAGATGGAGTCTGGTCTTACACGACCAAACCTCAGTAGTGAGGGGACCAAGCATCGCTAGTTGGAAAACACCATATTGGACGGCCTAGGTCGACGTGCCAAATTTTGATTATTGTCATCGTACACTGGGTGGCATCACGCAACCCACTGTTTTGCCCCCAGTATGATGGACGGGTAATCAAGATGTAGAGTACCGTCCTTATATTAGAACATGGAAACCCGTTACCAACTGATGACTTTGGGATGATTTCCATGATCGGAAACTTTCGTCTTGCCGTCCGAGCCAAGTCGCGTCGGGATAATTATTTCTTCAGAGAACTAATCGTTCCCACAGACGGCGCCAGCCATTGATGCGAAAATTCTCACGACTCGGAACAATGGCGTTTACCTACAAAACAAAGGGACGTCATTTCGAATGGCACCGGTGGGGTGCCAGCCAAGGACCCTCCGACGATCAAGTTAGTACTTGTAATCGTATCACATAATAACTATGTATCTTTTGTTTAGGAGTTTTTTCTTATACCTTTATTGCCCGATATGATTTCCTTCTTATAGTCGCTCTCCTATAGTTTATTTGCGGGATCAGAGGAAATCCGTCTGTGCAAGATCAGAAGAGATCTGTTCGTTGCCATATTTGTAGGGATATGATTTAACCCTTTTGACTTCCTTGTGCTAGGATTATCCTTACCCTGTTGAACCACGTCGTCTTTCATTATCCTGGATAAGAAATATCATCATTCTTATCTAGTGAAATCGTTATATTTGATAATGAAATATTATCGCTCAAAAGTAGAAGAGGTCTGGTCAACATTTAGTTGCCTTTTATCGTTAGGTCAAGGTAGGTCTATTTTTCCCTATCAAATACCATTTGAGAATGCATGTTGCAATGCCAATGATTATTGATACTTAATTAAAATACAAAAATTTTATACCCTAGGGTCTATTGAAGACTTTGAAGTACAGAAAAAATAGTCACTAAAAAAGACAAGAGTCCCTATGTTTATTCTCTATTCTAATCATTTCACTTTATTTAGAAAGTTAGTTTGAATTATTTTATTAAAAAAATAAAAGAAGGGAAGACGAAAATCAACCAAGCATTAAGACTTTCATAAATAACTTTTGCAGTTTTACATTAATTGAATATGTAGCACGAGTGTTAATTCAAATCCCTATACAATTTCTTTTTCTTTTTTCTTTTTCTTTTGATAAGTAAGGATTCATAAAGGGACGCATCCCCTAAAAAACAACACAAGGTCAAATAGGGCTTCTAAACCCTCAACAAATCCAAAAACCCTAAAAGCTCATCGAAGGATTTGCAATTTCTTCTTAGGACCCAACAGAAAAGAGTGCTAAGAATGGAGAACTTCAACGACCCAATCAAACTTTAGTAGACCGTGGCATAACCCAATGAATCCTAAACAAACCCAAAAACAAAATCCAGCAATCTCGGACCACCGGGCAATTTTATACTACAAAATTGTGTCACGCTTCATGAATCATCATAAATTAAAAGAAAATAAAGACTATACTAGACTCTTAGGATTTTAGAATCAACAAAATGTAAAACATAAAGATTCCTGGTCAAGATTTTTCTTTAAGATAGTTAACCCTAAGGTTTCTTAGGACTTCTAATGTTTTATTCTCGGATTATTGCTTTTAGTGGTATCTAATTTTTCACCTAATTCTTCACAACTTTATTAATCTCATTGGACTCAGTTTCAGATCCTTTAGTAAATTTTTCTTCAAAGCATCATCCCTTTGAAGCAAGCCCTTGAATCTTTATTGATCTTCATTTAGTTTCAAAGATTTTGCCTTTTGAGAATAGAGCTTTCTTTTTTCAATAATCCTTTTTTATTGAAAAAAAAACACATTCCTGTGAAAGATTCCACCCCATCAAAATATCTACAATTCCACTCATTCGAGGTGCCCCACCAAC